CCGCGCCCGGCCTCGGCCCGCCTGCCTAGGCCACGAAGGCCGGGTGGATCAAAGGCCGGGCTTTGAGGCTGGCCTCCGCAGACCTCCTTTATGGGGGTGCCCCTAAAACCATCTGTCATTCTGAGGGGGTTACAGCTGTCAGGAGCTCGTTGTGAGTTGCTGACTTAAATATTAAAGGCTTGACATGGAATGATGAGTGCGTGGTCTTTCCTGCCACCCCTTTAACACTCTTGCTAAGGACACCCCCTTCTCACGTAAAAAGAAGTGTGCACTTAATTAAGTGATGTGCACTTAATTTGGGAGATGGAAAAAAGTATATCCCACCGGGTGGGAAGGAGAAAAAGTATATCCCACCGGGTGGTGGGAGAGAGGCCATAGTGTTGCGGGGCTGCAAACCACTGCCACTTGTGTCTTTGCAAAGCACAGCTGGGGAAGTAGGGAGCAGTATTACAACAGTAACTTAAATGCTTTTTGGAGGACAGAAGCCTAACTGGAGAGCATATCAAAATCTAAAGGTGAGACAAAAGGGGCATAGACAGCGATAGGGCAGAGCTGCTGTATGTATGGCTTCCTGAAGATGGCCTAGGTTTCTGTTTGGAAACTTCGAATAGACTCTGAAAATTCCTATTTTTGCCTGGTGTTGCAGAACCTGTGGCATCCTGCTCAAAGTGCACTAAGTACAGCCCAGTCGAAAGGGCACTAAACTGTGCACTTAGAAGAACTGTATGTATCCATAGGGTATGTCCACATCAGCCGTACAAATCTGATACTTAGGATGGTGTCAAGCTTTTTGTTTGCATGCATGTATTTTTTGACTGGGAAAAATCCATGCCAAATACATCCCCCAAAATACCTGTTTCCCCTAATGGAAATACAGTAGACCTATATACTGAGGTGTAAGGAAGGGCAGCAGTTAGTGAAAAGATGATACAACAGCCAATAGACACACCTTCACCATTGGAATGTCTTGACACAGTAGCTAAATACGACTTAGGAGAGTGCAGTGTTATTTAGAACACTTTAAGTAATGTTGGGGGTTTTTTTACCAGGAGGGAGGAACTTGTTTGTCTTCAGTTGCAATGTGTTTTCTTCTCTAGAGTTGGGGCCATGGCTATTGACTGGATTGGTTTTGCATACGCTGCAATGTTGGCTGTTGGAGGTGTTGTAGGATACACTCGTAAAGGTAAATGCTGGGACAGCAGGGTTTATAAATGAAGCATTTGAGTTTGCTTTCCACTACGCTTTGTAAAAAAAGAATTGATGTGAGACATGAAAACTTCGCTGTAATGAACACGACTGCATCTTAAATCCATCCTATGCTGCTATAAATGAGCTGAGTCTCATGAGATTTACTTGAGTCAGCTTAATGCATTTAAGTGGTCGCTTCTTTCTGTTAAGCTAATTGATGAGTCTGTTTTCAGGGCAAAAAGGGGCTGTCATGTTATCTTTGACCTTCGATGTATTTTGGGCCTTCTCATTTCCTTTAATCATTCCTGCGTTGAGCACAGTAGATGCTCTTTCATTAAAGCTTATTTTCTACAGAGGCATCCAGGCTAGATTCTGAAATTTCCAGATGTACACTGGAAAGAAAACCCTTTATTTAGGTGTTCTGCTTTGGTAGTTAATTATCTCATACTGTTAGAGTTGTGTATTTTCACTCTGAGATAATCAGCTTTTAGGTTATCATGTGCTATAAAGCACATTTTCCCTATTTCAGTCATTTTCACAGTCCTTTCCAGCTCACAGCACCCTGCCTGAGCCAAGCACAGCAGAGGTCGCAGTGGTACCGAGAACAGGCAGGATCTCCAGGCTGGTCCCGGTTAGCTCGCCCACAAACTGCACATCCCTGCAGTCGACTTCACTGTGGCCATTATCCATCCCTATTATTGTGATTTAGGGTCACTGGCTCCCTGCGCAGCGTGCATATGCTTTGCTTTTAGAGATGTGGCTTTAGATCTCACTTTCTGAAAACACTCACTGTATTTTTTGTTTGCACACAGCTGCGCTCACTGACTATCCCATTCGCTTGTTTTCTTCACTCTTTAATAGTTGGTCAGTCCTCGTGGCAAATCTAGGTTATTTTTTTAATTGGTAATGATTTCTGTTTTCTTGCAAATTCTTAATTAAAAATATTCAGTATAACAGTGGGCTAAATGACATCTGGGAATCTGGATTCTTCATTTATAAACATTTTGGGATCAGCTTAATCCAGATAATGCCTGCTGTGCTGATTCTACACTTTTATCATATGCTACCAAGTCACTTGCCTATTCAGAAACCCAGGTATATTACTGAAACTCTGGGCTTTATGAACCAGTTTTGTAATAGCACTGAAAGAACATGTCAAGGTACTTTTAAAAGCCTTGACTTTTGAATACCTTGTTAACAAAGTACGTTTGCACCAACTGATTTCTTTTGTGAAAGTGGTAATGGCATACCTTTAAAAGCCATATTTTCATCTTCATTGTCATCTAATTGTTTTAACTTTTAAAATTCTTTATTAATTAAATGTGATGTTGGTGATACCATTTTTTTTGTCCAGGACTGATGTCAGACTGAAAGTCTTATGACTACATTTGTTGTCCAATTTACCCTTTGTACAGATTGACACATTTCTGCCATTTTTGGAGACTCCCAAGTGCTGTAAGATATAGTTACAATCAACAGTTAGGGCAGAGAAATTACAAAGATGCTTCCAAAGGTATGTATGGTGGAGAAAATAGCCAAGTTTAGGTTTGTGCTTCAAAGATTATTTTTCCCAAATTGCAAGTATTACTAGATCCTCATCATCTCCCTCTAATTCAGTTAACTTTTCCCCTAATGCCATGCAAGAGAATGACTCAGTTACATAAATATTATGTCTCTATTCACACTGGGTGAGCTAGCTGCACTGCAGCAAAATCGGTCATATTTTTTAAATATTTGGATGATACTGTGTAGAGAGAGAACTACTGTGTAAAGATTGAGCTTAAAGACATTGCATTGAGAAATAACACTTGAATGTTTTTTTGCAGGAAGTAAAATCTCTTTAGCTGCTGGTCTCACCTTTGGTTCTGTGGCTGGTTATGGAGCTTACTGCATAACACGTGATCCGAGAAATGTGAAGATATCATTGTGTAAGTGCTTTACTATAGTAAACACAAAACCAAAAAAAAAACCCCACCAACAAAACCAAGCAGTTTCCAGAACTGCATGTAGAAGTCTCTCTTACATTCAATTTTGAGCATTGCTTTCATTTAAATGTTATTTTTAAATAGAGTTAGACACTTCAACTTAGCTTGCAAAATTCAAGAGCTTAAATGAGGAACCATTTGCAGGATAAAGCAGATCATTCACACAAACCCAGCAGGTGTGTGTTACCACCTGGCAGCACCTCCTTTTATTAGATGGTTACCTAACACTGCAAATATTGTGAAATCCAGTTGAGAAACATGACAGAGTACTGGAATAAAATCATTTGAGCTACAGATTAGAATGTAATTTGAGCAGTAAAGTAGGTGTGGGATCCAGTCTTGCATAATGGCATGTATCCTTAGCTCCCAGTTAAACAAATAGTTTGACTTAGTGTTTTTCATCTGCTGCTAAGACAGATGGGATACAAATTATGCAATAATTGTCACATTAGGAAGTCTGCCATGAAACCCTCATGGAGGTAAGGAACTACAGCCTCTAAGTGGGACATTTATGTCACACAACTGATTTGCAATAAGAGCTGTTGGGAGCTTGTCTCACTCGTCGTTTTAGCAAAGGTGGCTTAGGCTGTGGTTTCACATGCAGAAATGCATTTAAAATACATTTAATCCAGATTGTGTGAGTACACGCTCACTTTTTCTGAACTTAAATAGAATTTATGGTACAGTGTTCATGCTAGCTTTGTGCTTTACACCAGCTACAGCTGTAAAAACTTCCATTTAAAAAAAAAAAAAAACAACCCAAGTTGAATACCTTGTTAACAAAGTACGTTTGCA